TACTATCTAAGTGGAGGATTGTTAGAAATAGTTAGTAATGTAAGATATCCCACATTGGAAAATTGAAAGGGAGTATAATAGTTTAAAAAAAGAAACACACCAAATTTTATAAGTTTGGATAGTGGGAAGATTTGGAGGGAAGCTTCAAATATTTTAAATCAATGTGCATTGATTAGGCTTTAAATAAAATAATATTTAAAATCAAAAGATAGACACTTGGACACTTGTCGCATCTTGGGCTTGAAGCCTATAAAAAAAAATGTATTAATTATTTTGTATTAATTAAGAAATTAATTAACTGCTACATGTCTCTTGGTCCAAGAGTTGTGTCTCTTCTTTACATCTCTAAGTTATTATAAATACCTTTACAAATCCTTCAATAAAAATATACAAAACATTTTTTCATTCTGTTCTTGAGAGAATTTCAGAGTTTGCTATCTAAAATTCTATTTGACTTTGTTAATCCTAGAGGAATTTGTCACAAACCCAGCAATAACATAGTGGGGGTATAATTTCCTTAAGGAGAGTGAATACACGATCAAAGCCTTCTAATCTCTTGTAGTTATTTTGGTAACAATTGAAACCAAGTTAAATTTTTCTTAAAAAAGAACAGATGGAGCCTATAGTAGAGTAGCCTAATTCATAGATAGAGTTAGAGGATATTAACTAGTCACCTAAGTAGACGTTGGAAGAGTGACTTTTTGGTGAGATTACTTCAACCAACTCAGTAACAAGCCTATATTATTGCTCAAGTTTTGGTCGACAAAAATTTGCGAATATTCTAGTAAAAAATTATAGTATAATTATAATTGAAAATTTCTCAAAATTAACACGTAAAACTTAATAATAATTGGTAAAATAATCAATTTAATACTAGAACCCCAAAAATCTTTACTAATCAATTATAAAATCAAATTAGGTATACGCAGAAACCTCTTTGAGTTTAGAACATCTCCAAATTTGACTTTAATTTGGAATTAAATTTAAATTTAAGTAAAAAAGCTCAAAAACCTTCTCCAACTCTAGATTCAAACTTGTATCAAATCAAGTAAAAACTTTTTTTAGACACAAATTGAAAGGGACTCAAATCTTATATCAAAATTTTAACTGTAACTTTTTCATCCACCCAATCCCAACATACTTCTTCTTTGCATAGAGCATACGTGGTTCTCTCCCTCCCTTTGACGCTTCTTTCCACCGCCGAAGCATTCATGGTTCCTCTGAAAATATGTGCTAAGTTTCTTCCATTTCATCTTCTATCTTCTTCTTTTCACAATTAACCTAAATATACTGAACAAATAATTGAAGAAATATTTAGTTAATCTTCACTGGTTTATATCCATGGGGTTTGAGATTTGGAGAAATATGGGCCTTGAATCAAAATGTCAAATGATAAACTTTTGTGCATAGTAATCACACTATAGGATAAACAGAACATGCCAAATCTCTGCACCATCAAATGGCTTTTGCAATAACCATAGTTTTGCTTGTGCTTTCTGATCCTGAGATTTGTGAAGTCTCGGGGTTCTTGAAAGGGTCATTGGTGGCCGACTATGATTACTAGGTTGACTTTCAAAAATTGAGTTACATAGAAATTGAGGTGCATTTGGGGAAAGTAGAGTTTTTGGGATAATTTGAGAATTTTTAAAAAAATTTGAATAAAAATTTGAGTTTGTTGATTGAAGTTGTTTATCTATACTGCTTATAAATATCAGGATATGTGAAAAATTTTTAATTTCCTATTTTATCCCTTATTATTATTTTAAAGTCAATTATACCCACATATTTTTCTCTATTTCATACCTACAAGATTTCTAAAATAAGAAGACTCCTTTAAACACTATCAATTAAAGAAGACTTCTTAGAGTTTTGTAACTCCCAAACTATTGAAACACTATCAATTAAAGAAGACTTCTTAGAGTTTTGTAACTTCCAACCATTGAAACACTATCAATTTTTCCTTGGATTTTCTATTTTCTCTCTGTATCTCAGCTCTCTCCTCCATCGCACACAGTGGCAGTGCTTTCCCAGGTAAGCCTCTCTCTACCTCTAAATTTCTCTAATCTTTCACATTCTGCCCACACCACCACCATAAACACACACAATCACCTCTTTGCTTGAGCAATCCACCCAACCACCCATAACCTCTGTTTTCTTTTTGTATAACAAATTTTTAATTAAAAATTTACCCTATTGAATTTTGGGTTATGTTTCATTCCCAAAAAAATCATTAATACCCAAAAAAATTTAATTAACAACAATTTATCTAAATTAAAATACAATTTTAAAGGACTGTGAATTTGAACCTATTCTCAAATATAAATCATTGTAGCCATTGATTTAAATCATCAATAGAAAATGTAAAGAAACCTTCTTTTTTTTAAAATAACAATTAGACAAAAAAAAAAAAGCCTAACTCATTTTGATATATTTCTCTATTGTGGCATGTGATACCTTTCAATCCTCTTTTGAGTTTTTCATATATTCTAATTAATTGAATACATCAATTTTTCTTTCTTATTAGTTGTGGTTTTTATTTGTTTGTAAAATTTGAATGCGTGTATTTAATTTAGGTCTATTCAATATTGATGATTTATTTTGTAGATTTTGGGTTACAGAGATACTGAAAAATTTTCAAGCTAACTGGAAAAAAGAACTAGAAGAGCTTGTCCAGTTAATTTCAGTGTGAAAGCCAAGAGTTAATGCAAATGTCAGTGTATCAATTATTATTACTTTTACTATTATATTATATATTTGTTTTGAAGTATTTTGTATGATTTTTTGCATGTTCAACTATTTTCTGGTATTATGTTTCTAAATCATTTTTGTGCAAACCAGATTTTTACTGAATTGATAGTTTATTAATTCCTATATTTTAGTTTATTAATTCCTATGTTTACGTTAATTCCTATGTTCTGTGACACTTAAATTTTTTTAATTTAATATCCAGCAATTTTCTAAAAGATTGAAGTGACAGTTCAAGTATTCGGCATAATTGAGGTTAGTTTTTTAGTTCTCATGTTTTGTTTAGTAAATTGGTGTTGCAGGTCGAATAATCGCATAATTGAGGTTAGTTTATTAATTAATATATTTTAATTTATTAATTTCTATGTTTTCATTTATTAATTCGTATATTTATGTTAAAATTTTGTATATTGGAGTTTCTTTATTTTATTACAACGTGATAAAATATAATTTGCTATATAATTGTAATTGTCACATTTTTTTAATCTTGTTCTATATATTTTGAAGTTGACAAAAAAGTCCTATAGAAATCCTAGATCCAAAAAAACAAAAAACTGTGTCTCAATGATTGTAACACAAATCAACTGACTTGTCGAATCCGCTGTATGAAGGACAGAATTGACAGTAGGAGCATTAATTAAGCTGAGCCTTGAGCTTTGATGAGCTTTACAAATTATTAAATCAAATGTCTTTTTTCTTGGTATTTTAATTATTTACTTACCTTTACAAAAAATAATTTAATTTTATTGTTAATTAATTTTGTATTTTAAATAAATTTAATAACAAATTAATGAATTAAATTTTTTCACGTGCAAGACATGTGCATTGCTAGTACCAAATAAAGTTGTTTACAAGATAAGTTTAGAGATTTCATAAAATATTTATCGTATTGAAAGTTTAAATATTTTGATTGCACCATCAAACATACAAAAAGTTAACAATGTAAGGTTCACGACTACAAATCTGTTGCTTTTGATAATTTTTTGTATTATAATCTTGCTATTTTTTTTAAAATTTTTATGCTCAGGTATTTGTATATTACTCACTTTTAACTATTATACATGAATTTTAAACCAATTTGAGTACTTCTCCCTCTCTTCAACTTATTTCAACAGATTTTAGTACTTCTCACCCTCTTCAGCTTATTTCAATAGATACTATACAGCTCATAGTTTCATACGCAAACAAGCACAAACAGTTCCCACGTTAAATGAAACGTTAAACTTTAAAGGGTCCGTTTGGATAACTATTTAACAAAATAATTTAATTTTTTTTCACTTTGGATGTTTTCGAATTAATTGCATGAATGAAATATTCCACGACAAATTCACATTTTTTTTTGCTTCTGAAAAAAAGGGTGGAGACAAAAGAGAATATCTAGAGACCACCTCGATAAATTCTCATTATTGGGATCATGAGATTCTTAATCATGTTTGTTACAATTTTTAAGAACAAACTTAACTAAAGGTAGCATAGTTATCAATCAATCGAACTTCAATGTGAATTCTAATACTCAAATCTCCATCTTTAACATAAAAAATTTGACCGATATCTTACTAACCATTCCATCCGGTGGCCAAATTCACATTAAGTAACTATAATTACTTGTAAACCAAAAGTTATGGTTAAGCACATAAATCATCAACAAAGTCGACCTCAACATTGAGTGTATGGGTGCATAACAGATCCAATTCAACACTACTTGACATGCATAATCCGTCGGGGGGGGGGGGGGGGGGGGGGGGGAACTAAAAAAAAACCAATCTCATGTACAACTTGAGTTAAAACTCATACTTTTGAAAGATTTCTAAACTTCTCTAACTTTTTCATGGAGTTGCACAGGGACAATCGCCAGCCATGGACTAGTGGTTGAACCTCTCACATCCTACATTCCACAGCAAGGAGTAATGGAAGTAAATCCAAATCCAAAATAACTTAGCCCTCTGAGTTATTCTTCTCATTCAAAGCCAAACGCGAGAATCTCCTATTTTAACTTAAATTTTTATTTCAATATAATTTATCATTTTAATAAAAAATTTAATTTGATATAAAGTACTATAATAGAAAAATTTAAATTTATAGAAAAACAAATTCGAATTTAGTATGAGTTTGAGCGTATGATTTTAGAAATTTTAAAATTTTTTTTTTTTATCTAAATTTAAATTTAAATTAAAAAAGAAAAGGTAAGAATTAGAGATTCTCTTTCAGCAACCCCTCTCACACAACACGCGCTCCTGGCGCGCACAACTCACAGCTGCACCATTCTCTCTCTCTCTCTCTCTCTTTCAAACTGTTTCTGTAAAACTCTTTCACTTCTACTGACTCTCTCTACACTCCTCCGATCTTGATGAACTTTCTCATTCTGCACTTGAGGAAGCCCTCGTTCTCTCTCTCTCAATGACCAATATTTAGGATTATTTTTTTCACTTACATTCCTCACTCAAATGACTCTCAGTAGTGTCACTCTAAACCCGCACTTCCTCTCTCTAGTCTTCTTCTCTCTCCTCTTCTCACCCACCTTCCTCTCTGCATCAGAGGACGAAGTCCGATCACTCCTCGAGTTCAAGAAGGGCATTAAAGAAGACCCACTTGGAAAAGTCTTCAATACATGGAACCAAAACTCCATTTCAGATCCAAACGTTTGCCCCCAATTCTTCTACGGCGTTCTCTGCGGCCAGGACGGTTTCGTTTCCGCCATAGTTCTCGACCACCTCAGCCTCTTGGGAGACATCAAATTCTCGACTCTAATTGGCCTCAAAATGCTCACAAATTTGAGCCTTCCGGGCAATTTTCTCACCGGCCGGCTCGTTCCTGCATTGGGGTCAATGACTACTTTACAATATTTAGATCTATCAGGCAATCAATTTTACGGCCCTATACCGGTCCGAATCAACGATCTTTGGGGGCTAAACTACCTCAATTTGTCGAATAATAACTTTACGGGTGGGTTTCCTAGTGGTATGCAGAATTTACAGCAGTTACAAGTGCTGGATTTGCATTCAAATGGGTTTTTGGGTGATGTACAAGATTTGTTTCCCCAACTGAGAAATGAGATTTATGTTGACTTGAGCAACAATATGTTTTTTGGGTCGCTATCTATGAGTGTGGAGAATGTATCTAGCTTGGCTAATACGGTGCGGCATCTGAATCTGAGTCACAATAGGTTGGGTGGTGAGTTTTTTCGGAATGATTCGATTGGGTTGTTCCGGAACTTGAGAGTTTTGGATTTGGGTGATACTGGGATATCTGGAGAGCTACCTCCATTTGGGTCATTGCCAAATCTTCGGGTTCTGCGACTTGGGAATAATCAGTTGTTTGGATCAATACCAGCAGAGCTCTTGGAGAATTTGATTCCTTTGCAGGAATTAGATCTCAGTTACAATGGATTTTCGGGTAAGTTATTAACTTCATTTACATAATTATTATTTAATAGTGGATGAGCCTCTTTCTTAGCCGAGCACTCAAAAGTGTGCCATTTGTCTGTTTATCGATGGTTTAACGATGCCTATAGTAGATATGTCTTAGCTCTTGTGCATTTAGTGGGATGCTTGATGAGAAACTGTAGATCCTGTAACCATAAATTTATGACTCTATGTTGTTGTGTAAATAAACTCATGATTCTGTGTCGTCATGCAGTGTAAATGCATGTTTCTGTGTTGTTACTTGTGTCAGCTATGTGCATTTTATGTTTACTCTGGATTATTGGAATTCATAAGCTGTCTCTTTTTGGCTTAGATGTGGAATTATGAAGATAATACATGTTACTTTATGATTAGAGGCTTTACAGCGATGCCAATTTCAGATGCTGACAATGTGTGCATTATTGTCTTGGTGTCCAGCATTGATTTTTTAATTTTGAAAAACAAAAGTAAATCGTAAAACTTTTATCGGCTTGCACATGGATCAAAGACCTTCATAGTTGATTAAAGACGTGGTGTGCATAGATCAAGAGAGCTCAAAACGTTAGGCAAAATCTCTCGTACAAGTATTAAGAACTCTGACAATTGAACCCTTGACCATTAAAGACGAGCAGTAATTTCCTTTGCTTAATCTGAGGTTCTTTGATTCTGTTAGGGTTAAGGTCGAGAGTCTGTGCCACTATTATTCAAGTAAAAATCTAGGGACGCCAATATTCTGTTGGAGTCAGAATTGTGTCTTCAGCTTCACTCCTACACTTTTTTGAACGATGTGAATTTATTTCTTCGCCTACTTCCTACTGAAAGATTTATTACCCCCTCGCATGTGCCAATGCAGTGGCGCATTTATGGTGAGCTCATCACTTATGTTGGCATTCTTTGTAACCAGTAGTGGAAGTGGACTTACTGATATGTCTGCCTTAAGGTTTAACAATTAAGTGGACCTATTGTGTAACGGCCTCATGTCGAAGAGGTGTACCAAAAAAGTCTACCTTTGGATGTGAGTTTCATATTGACCACTCTTGGGAAAAGAGAAGGATACTCTATTCCCTTCTATGCTGTTTGTTAGCATAAACAAGCAAAGGATAGGACACATCACGTGTTGAATCATTTTCTTTCCATTTAACAAAATATAGATTTATTAAATGAGTTCAACTCCTAATTTTGAACAGGTATTGAGGCAGTTCCAGCAATACAATCTACTAGTTTTCTTGAAAACATTTTAAGAATCCATTGGACCTTGAAAGTTTTGGTTTGAATTGGATCGCTCAAATGATAATGGTGCTTCAGTACACCAAACAAATACTTGTTAATTTTAGATCCGAAATTCTCTTGACTTGTAAAGTGGAAAGTGTCCTTCTCGGAATTTTGAAGAAGTTGAAAGCACTTATTCAGTTATTCTTGAAAAAGGGTCAGCTCCTTGCAATGAAAGAAAAGTAATTTTGGGGTCGCATCCACTAACATGTTTTATGAAGACCACAAAAAGGGACATTCTGACTAGCTTCATTTTAACCTTTATAGTTGTGGTTAGTGCAAATTGTTATATCACCCCACAAAAACACACCTGGGAGAGAAACTCTATCTGGTGAGGAGGTCACTTCATCTTAGTTGGAACATTTATGAACCGTAGATTTTTGTCAGAAGTTTGCGCTTGTGTTGAGTTTTAGTGCCTATCTTTTACACAATTGATCCCAAGCCCGGATAAAGGAGGAGGGGTGCGGTAGGTTGTTAACAACCAGCATAATACTTTGTCAAATCCAATATGAACTCGAATCCAAATAGTGCAATGGAGAAACATAATTCATGGAACTAACCCCAAATAGTTAGGGTTAAAGTTTTGTTGAGATTTTTGTCAGAAGTAGTAAAGTGGTTTCTTATTCAAAAGAAAAAAAATAGAGGTATTACAGGAATTGTTAACACAGGTATGCTAAAGTTGTTTTGGATCACAGGACTGTACCTTTATTGATTTCAACTAATTATTTCTTTTATATAAATTAGAGGAAATTTCTATTTATTATTTCTGTTCGACACCCATCTAGTAGCAGCAATTTTACTCCTTTTTTTTCAGGCATCTAGTTTCACCCTGTAATATTATCTATTACATGCTTGGTGACAATAATTGGTTCTCTGAATTTGATGGTGAAGTTTTGAATTGTAATATTACTATTTGAATTGAATGGTATAGACTATAGATTGAAAATGTAGACTTACTATTTGAAATACCTAGAATTTATTGGTCCATGATTGCTTTGTGTTCATTGTTTATCATTTATTCTGTGTGATGCACTGAGCCTGCAGTAAATGTGCATTACAATATAATGCATTATGGGAAAATTTTGATAGTTAATATTTATGTATATGAACTTATAAAGATATAACCTGAGTATTGTTGCTTATTCAATTGTTCATTGGGATTTTATGGTGATCCTTTGGCACCCTTCCCTTTTGTCAATTTTCTTGAAAGCTCAGTCCTACAGTAACTTCCTTCATATGTGTGACAAGTCTTCATGTGATTATGATATCTTCCCTAAGCACTTAGTTTTTGTCAACTGCTTGTCTGACATAGTTGTATATTCAACTTGAACGCATACAGGTTCTATTCATGGAATAAACTCTACAACATTGAATACTCTGAATCTTTCATCAAATGTGCTATCAGGTTCATTGCCACCATCCGTGGGAACTTGTGCAGTTATTGATTTGAGCAGTAATATGCTATCTGATGACATATCCGTTGTGCAGAGTTGGGAAGCCACTTTGGAAGTTCTGGATTTGAGTTCAAATAAGTTGACAGGAAGTATTCCTAACTTGACTTCTCAATTTCAAGTATTGACTATGCTTAATATTAGAAATAATTCTCTAGTAGGTTCCTTGCCTCCTGTATTGGGAACCTATTCAAAGCTGTCTACCATTGACCTCAGCCTTAATAAGCTTGATGGGCCTATTCCACCTAGTTTCTTTGCTTCAATGGTCTTGACAAACCTGAATCTTTCAGGAAATCAATTTACAGGAACAATTCCCTTTCAAGGCTCCCATACAAGTGAATTGTTAGTTTTACCCTCTTATCCGCCGATAGAGTCTCTTGATCTTTCAGACAATTCCTTGACAGGTAACCTGCCTTCGGACATAGGTAATTTGGGGAGGCTTAAATTGCTAAATCTTGCAAAGAATAAATTATCTGGAAAATTACCGGATGAATTGAGCAAACTCAGTGGCCTGGAGTACCTTGATTTATCCAATAACAATTTCATGGGTAAAATTCCTGAGAAACTTCCCTCAGGTCTGAAGGTCCTTAATGTGTCCTATAATGATCTTTCTGGATCAGTTCCAGAAAATTTGAGACACTTCCCTGATACTTCATTTCGTCCTGGGAACACCTTATTGGTAATCCCACAAGGTTGGCCGTCACAGACTGGTCTTCCAGATCAGATTCCTGATAGAGGAAAACATCACAGTTCAAAGTCTGGTATTAGAATAGCAATCATTGTTGCCTCGGTTGGAGCTGCTGTGATGATTGGCCTTGTTCTATTGGCTTATTATCGAGCACAACTGCATGACTTTCGTGTTAGAAGTGGATTTAATGGCCGAACTGCTGGTAGGGATGTTAAAATAGGAAAATTCAGTCGGTCCTCACTTTTCAAGTTTCGCAAAGATGTTGAGCCCCCTCCAACTTTGATAAGTTTTTATAACGATCACTTGCTAATGTCAAATTCAAGGTCACTGTCAGGGCAGGCGGAGTGTGGAACTGAGATTGTTGAGCATGTTGTGTCCGGTGGGGTGGGGGTGTCTGCTAGTTTGGCATCAACAAAGCCCATTGTGCTAGATGGTCAACCTGCAGCTTCTGGAAGGAAGTCCTCTCCAGGTTCCCCAATAGCTTCCTCACCTCGTTTCATCGATGCTCTGGAACAACCTGTGACGTTGAATGTTTATTCTCCGGATCGGTTGGCTGGAAAATTATTCTTCTTGGATGCTTCACTAGCATTTACTGCTGAGGAGTTGTCCCGAGCTCCAGCAGAAGTTCTTGGCAGAAGCAGCCATGGCACTTTATACAAAGCAACACTAGACAATGGACAAATGTTGACTGTGAAATGGTTGCGGGTGGGGTTGGTCAAGCATAAGAAAGAGTTTGATAAGGAAATCAAAAAGATTGGCTCAATAAGGCATCCAGTTGTTGTTCCATTACGAGCTTATTACTGGGGCCCAAGAGAACAAGAGAGGCTTATTTTAGCAGATTATGTTCAGGGGTATAGCTTGGCTTTACATCTCTATGGTAAGCTGCCAGAACTGCTTGTGTTTCCTATTCACTCAATAATATAATCTATTTTGTGGTACTTGTTGTTTCTCATTTTTTCTTTTAAATATAGTGCCATCTCCAACCCTGACTCAAATTTAGATTTAAATTTAAATTTAAGTAAAAAACTCAAAAAGCTTGCTGCAAGTCAAACTTATACCAAATCAACGGGGATTCCTCTTTTACTCAAATCAAGGGAGACTCAAATCCTTACCCAAATATTTAATGATGAGATTTCACCCTCTTTTAAAGATCAAGTGGTCATCTTTACTCATTTAATTTTGGGTTTGCTCTCATTTAAATTTGGTTTGTCCTTCTTTAAATTTGAGTTTGTCCATTAGAGCTCTTTGTATAAAATCAAGTTTTTTTAGTCAAATGTTAATTTAAATTTGAGTAAAAATTTGAGTCATGGTTGAAAATGCTCTTATATTATATATTACACTCACTTCTTTTTCCTCTGAGGCTTACAGCTCATAGACTTTTCTTGATCTTATTACAGACTTTGTGTAACATGCATTTTTTTTTGGGATGGCCCGTGGCATTCATAATTTCAAAGATTCTTCTGTAAGCCTCCCAAAAAACAAAAACACACACATGCACGCACACTCAATCTTAAGGTTATTGAATGTATACACTGCTGAAGTGCAGGGCAATGCCTAATGATGTCGGTGTTTCCCACTAAGCTCGGTTTGTCACACATTCTAAAAGAATTCTTTCTGCATGGCATCATTGAGAAATCCAATTTGCAATACCTGAGATAAAAAGAATGAAAGATGCTTTTTATCTCCGGAAATCTTCTAGTTGCCTTCAAAGCTCTGTTATTTCCATATATAACCTCTTAGGACTTGGGAACCGACTTTTGCAATTGGACACGTCAGATTGATGTAAGCATCTTGGAAAACCTTTTGCTTCTGTGTCTCTGAGGATCAAAACTTGTTTGACATACTTTTAAGGATGCTTCCTACACTGCTTTAGCAGAAGTGCAAAACCTTAAGCTGCTGACTGACCTTGTTTTTGGTGCAACCTTTTAGTAGTCATGGAGAATGCATTGAGATCGTGGAAAGATTTAAATATCTGCCAGGTGAACAACTTTGCCCTCAATCATATCAGTGAATCTAGTGCCAGGGCATATGCTATGAGAGGTAGCTTCCACCTCGTGCGGTGGCCGACTTCTTTTATCTTGCTGGCAATGATACCATCAAAGTGTTACTGTTTGAACACAATGATAGCCATGATATGTTCTATAGGGCAGTATCAAATTTGAAAAAGCAAGGTTCAATCTCAGAAAATCTCCTGAAATTTCGAAGAAGATCAATGGCCTCCATTGAGGGTTTCAAGTATTTAGCCATCCTTTCAGTCAATGTTTCTTCGTATGGTTAACCTTTTCGGAAACAAAATTGCCAGCAACAGTATATATGTACAAAAGATGACCACATTCATGAGGTCCTTGCCAACTCCTCCAATCCTGGCAAATGTGATGAATTTCAGCTAATCCCAAAGAGTTGTAGCAAGGCTTTGTTGAGCTGAAAGTGCCATCTGAATGTGCTAATGTCCATCCAGAACACATTCATTTTCCCAATTTTCCTGGGTCCTCGAGAGCTCCCTATTTGCTTTAAAACAATAATTCTTCTGAAAAGAAAAATGATTGTTATGTACTGCTAGAGAGGTGGTCGCTTTGCAATACTAGGAGTTGTGAATTCAATGCAAAGTAATTTAACGGTCTAAATGGCAGTATGGCCACGGCCTGAACTTTTTGCGCAGTTGTGTGAGAGTTACAGTTATGGTGGCTTCTTTTAACCTAATCTTGTATCCAGATTCAGACAGGCTAATGCAATTGTTAACAGGAATATTTGATTACGAAATTCTCTGAGTTTTAGAATATTTTGAATATGAAATTTTCTTAGTTTTGGGTATTTAATCAACGTATATATCTTATGCAGAGACAACACCTCGGAGGTACTCCCCATTATCGTTCAGGCAAAGGTTGAAAGTTGCAGTTGATGTTGCTCAGGCTCTGATGTACATCCATGATCGGAGCTTGCCTCACGGAAACCTAAAGCCAACTAATATACTTCTTTTGGGAACCGAGTATAATGCTTTCCTTACTGATTATGGTCTCCATCGACTGATGATGCCAGCTGGCATTGCAGAGCAGATTTTGAACCTTGGGGCTCTTGGCTACTGTGCTCCAGAACTTGCAACCACAGCCAAACCAATACCATCATTCAAAGCTGATGTGTATTCGTTTGGGGTGATTCTGATGGAATTGTTGACCAGAAGAAGTGCCGGTGACATTATCTCTGGCCAAGCAGGTGCTGTTGATCTAACAGATTGGGTTAGGCTGTGTGATCGACAAGGACGAGGAATGGACTGTATCGACAGAGACATTGCAGGAGGGGAGGAACACTCGAAGGCAATGGATGAATTTCTTGCCATATCACTAAGGTGTATTCTCCCTGTAAATGAAAGGCCTAATATCAGACAAGTCTTTGAAGATCTCTGTTCTATATCTGCTTGAAATTTTGTACATTTGTCTTGGAATTAATTATTTTTTTTTCTCAATTGGTTTTTAGCCTTCTAATTTGGGCTAATCATTTTTTACCTTCATTTTTTGTGTAAAGGGTTGATCGATCCATTGATTGATTGACAATATTTCAGTTTGATTAGCAGTTGAAAAGGTTTAAAAAAATTTTCCTTTTTGTTTTTTTTGTTTTTTGGCTAACAGTTGTTGAGCATTTGTTAATGGTAGTTCTTGTACATCACTTCCAGATTGTACACTTTTTCTACCTTTGTTATTCTGCATACTTCGGTGATCGGAAATCGTTGGTTTATCATTTTGGCTTGTATGATACTGAGATAGGGAAAAAGAATAATACAACTGGTTGAATTGTATGGTTTTTAATTATGTCATACAATACCTACACATTATGTTCGCAACGTTTTGATACAGCGGAAAAAATGATACAATTTCATTGTTAACAGGTACCTTACGTCATTTTGTAAGATTTTTTCAATTATAAATAGTGAAAGTTATGTCATTTCATGTAGGTTGTTTTTTCTTTTGGTGTGATCTCAAACAAACGAAAGTCAACAATTTTCTTCTTCTTCTTTGATGCTTCTTCAAATAGATGATACCCTAATTATATTTTAGGATTAATCTCATTTTGTATCTCGAAAGATTGTTCGAATCTCAATTTGCACCCTCAAAGATCAAAAATTACACCCTCAAAGATAGAAATTTGTATCAATGTGCACCCCCAAAGATCAAAAATCTCAATTTGCACCCTTAAAGATAGAAATTTATATCAATGTGCACCCCAAAGATAAAAAATCTCAATTTGCACCCTCAAAGATAGAAATTTGTATCAATGTGCACCTAAAAACTAAATTGATAAATTATACATAGATCCCCTCATACTTGTCACTTAATCATTTAGACCTCTTCACATTTAGAATATTACTCCTACATCTTATGACATTTGTGCACGTATAACACGTAACCCATTTTCATTGATATCTATTAATATAACCGTTAAAAAATATAATTTTATCTTAATAAAAAATTATAATTTCATATTACCCTTTATTTTATGGGTTTAATATATTCTAAAATTCAAAATCTAGTTTATCATTTGAATGTCTAATAAAATGTAAATATTTATATAATATTTTTCATATTACCTTTTATATAAATATCTACATTTTATTAGACATTCAAATGGTAAGCTTAATTTTTAACTTTAGAGTATATCGAATCCACAAAATAAAAGGTAATATAAAATTATAATTTTTTATTAGGATAAAATCATATTTTTTAATGATTATATTAACAGATATCAACGAAAAGTGGTTATGTGTTACACATGCACAAACGTCATGAGATGTAAGAGGAATATTCTAAATGTGAAGGAGTTCAAATGATTAAGTGACAAACATGAGGGGATCTAGGTATAATTTATCAATTTAATTTTAGGTGCACATTGATACAAATTTCTATCTTTGAGGGTGCAAATTGAGATTTTTTATCTTTGGGGATGCACATTGATACAAATTTCTATCTTTGAGGGTGTAAATTGAGATTTTTGATCTTTGGGGGTGCAAATTGAGATTTGAACAATCTTTTAGGGTGCAAAATGAGATTAACCCTATATTTTAATCTCTATTGCGATGGTGAAGAATTGTCTCTTTCTTGATCTCTATCGAAAACATACTGTTTAGGTTAAAGTGTAAAATTCCAGAAATATTTAATGTATTAATACTTGACAGCCCTTGATTTACTAAGGAAGTGTCACACGACATAATTAAAGAAAGGTGGGAGATAATCAGTTACAATCACATTTGATAAAAAATAAAGTAATTTATTGAGAATTATCATTAAGGAACCAACGATGAAAATAGAAACTGTCGAAGAAGATGGCTGTAAAAAAGCATTCAATGAAAGAATAACATAATTCAAACTCCCAAACTACACATGACGTGGGCATCATTAGGAGTAGGTTTTTAATTGTTTTTTATTCAAGGAAGTCCTGAAACATGACATTTGAACTCATTCCAAACAATTGTTTGAAAATTATTTGTTAATTGAGAGATTTGTGTCGATCCCAACAAAATTTAAAGCAACACATGCATCACACGAAAATAATAAGTGAGTTGTAATTTTAATGCCCTGTCTCTCATAAGCACATTAATTGTTAGTTTTTATACCAAATTGTAACTCCTTAACCCAACTTCTTCTTAATCAGATGCTAATAAAATCAATAATATAATTTCACTTCTCGAAAGTTGCAAATATTACAACTCAAAAGTCAAATTACAAACTTCAATGATCCAACAAAACTCGTAATGAAAAATATGTTCTATATACACTTCAAACAAGAAAATCAATTTGACCAGAACGCATCCTTGAACTCAAACGTTTCCCTTGAATAGCCAAAACTTTGAAAAATAGATAGATAAGGTACGGTGAGCGTCAACTAGCTCAGTAACTTAATCTAATTTTGAACAAAAAATGTTTAAATCTGATGGTGTAAATCAACGTGGTGTAACTTTGTGATATTGAACAGATGAGATAAGCAATGTGTGACTGTTAGGATCTGAGCCGCAAGGCTCAAAAGAACAAGGATTGGTAATGAGGGAAAATTGGGAGATTAACACAATGAAAATATAGTGGTTCATCAGCTTGGGAGCTTGGCTAATCCACTCTTCAATGGAGGCTCTTGCTCCTTTTTACTTTATTGATCATCTGAAAGGTTTACAAGACTGATTGTATGTTACTAGGGTCCCCCCTCTCTTGGGGGTGTTACATAGTATTTATAGGGCCGTCTCTAGTTCTGCGGGATCTGCCCCGAGATCCTTGCCATTTATCTGAGGAACTCTCCTTAATCTTAGAAAAGGATCTTGGCTGGTTAAGGATTTTGTGCCTTGAATATGGTTCTCTACCACCTATTATATTTCTGTTGTCATCCAACTGTTTTCTTATCATTTCCGCTGTTATCACGTCTGGGGGGGCTCTAGCTCTAATCCTTTGAGCTCTACGTGTCTTCCCTGACCTCTTGATCTGGTCTGCTAGTTTGTCCTCCGCTCCTGAGCTCATACTTGGAAATTATTTTGAGTATCATCAGTTGCCCCTAGCCCTTAGCCCAAGTGAACTTGGGTAGGGGCTGAGTTGAGGTTTAATTAAGGCAGACCTCCAAACGCGGATCTCGATTTGTGCGCGAACAGGTTTTTGACAATTTCAGGTAATCATTTTACTTCTTAGTTTTTCGTGCACATTCTCCACTTTGTACCGTTAACTTTAAATGCCCCTGGACCAACGGTTACCTCCTCACTCTTCGAATTCTCTTTGGCTTTCCTTCTCTCCTTGAGGGATGGGTTCAATGCTTTTTTTATGTTTCTGGAGACTCTTGGAGGTCCATTGAGCTGCGTTATAGAGAGAATAGGACTCCTAGGTCCTGGAAGAGCTATTCTTATCCAGGTAAATATCTTGACTGCCTTTGCTGTTCAGGTCCCATGATATCGTGACCTAATCGAAAGATTTGCTTCGCTTGGTAGGTCCTCCTAAATTAGACTTATTGGAGGCGATGCAAGTCGAACAGATAATCCATGTTGAGCCTGTGTCCTACTCTGAGCTGATGACACCAGACAACCTATTTCTGTTTAGTGCTGCAAGAGCTGCTATGGACTTTGTTTCTTACCCAGATTCTCCTGATTCCTGTCCTTTCGAATCTGATGAGGATGAGGATGTTGGTACATCTTCCCGACAATGCAAGAGGAGTGGCTCTGCCAGTGACTCTTTTTCATCCTCATCTGGATCTTCACTGGCAATAATTCTGTTCTCTTCGTGAGGGCAGAAACTTATAAACCTTCTATCAGAGGCAGAGAATGAGAGGGATAAGCTAAAGGAAGAGAACGTCCGCCTAATGGAGGAGGTTCCTGATCTCCAGAGACGCCTCAAGGGCGATTAAGAGCTAGGAACTTTTCCTTGTAATTTTTTTGCTTCCTTCATTGTATTGCTACTAGATTTTTGAGCCTTTGCTTTATCTGATGGTTTAAATTCTCCTCTATCAATTGTAAAGTTTGTGGTCTTGCTTCGAATCTTGTCGCATGCTTCTGCCCTGAAGAACCTGTCTCAATTCCCTGAATAGAAGGATTCATCGTATGATCTGAAGAGCTTATCCTTAGCTTATGAGCTACAAAATTTATCTCGAGCTATGGGGCTCATTTTCATGAGCTGGAAAGTTCATCGTGAGCTGTTGAGCTCATTTTTATGAACTGAAGAGTTCATTATGAGCTATTGAGCTCTTTTTATGAACTGAAGAGTTCATCGTGAGCTATTGAGCTATTTTTAGCCAATCTCATAGAGATGAATAAAAGACTTGCAGTTTTATTGAGAATAATCAAATTACAAAATTGGCGTACTGAAAAAATCTCTTAAGATGTTCTGCATTCCAAGAGTGGGATAGGATTTTCCCCTTCTCCATTCGTAACTCATAGTTCCCTGGTCTGACCACCCGTGAGATGATATAGAGACCTTCCCAATTAGGCCCCAGATTCCCATGAGTGGGGTTCTTTCTCGCTAACAAGAGTTTTTTAAGTACCAGGTCTCCCACCTTGAAGCTTCTGTGTCTAACCTTTCTGTCGTAGTACCTGGCCGTCTTCCTCTGGTAGCCCCTGATACTATGTAGAGCTACCTCCCTCTTCTCTTCCAAGAGATCCAACCTCAATAGATGTGACTCATCATTGCACCCATCATCTGCGAATTTAGTCCTGGGGGATGGAAGCCCAACCTCTACAGGCGCCACTACTTTAGTTCCGAAGGCCAAGACAAACGGTGTTTCTTGAGTAGCTGACCTGCCAGTTGTTCTATAGGCCCATAACACTTCTGGGAGGTGTTCCACTCATTTACCCTTTAGATCTTCAAGCTTGGTTTTCAGGGCTGCTTTTATGGTCATGATGGTGACCTTCGCTTGTCCGTTAGATTGAGAATGAGCTGGGGCTGAGAAGTAATTCTTATTTTCGAGCTCAGCACATAAGTTTTTAAACTTTGGATTGTCGAATTGCTTTCTGTTGTCGAAGACGATTGCCCTGGAAATTCCAAACCTACAGATTATTGATTTCCACGTAAAGTTCTAGACTATCTATTCCGTAATTGTTGCCAGGGGTTCTACTTTTGCCCATTTGGTGAAGTAGCCTACCTTTACGATGATGACTTTTTCCATTGTCCCACACTGGTAGGAAGGGGTCCCAGTATGTCCAGACCTCATTGCTGGAAAGGCCATGGGTTAACCATCGAGGTTAAGAGCTCTGGTGGGCAATGTGGATGTTAACGTGCACTTGGCAAACCTTGCACCTTTTGACCAAAT